GAACCATCTCTCTGCATATTAAACTGGCAGCAGAGAGAGCACAGATTGTCTTCCAACCACTCGTGGTTATGTTCTGTACGGGCTGTGCGGTGTGCGTTTGTGTGTTTCACCTCAGACCTGTTTGTCATCCGAAATCCTGCGAATCTTCTACACAATCAGACATGGCATGCCAATGAATATTTGCAAACATTTATGGACTTTTTTTTGGCTACTTCCTTTACCATTTCGCAAAACAGATGTGGTCACAGATTTTGGCTCGTTATGCTATGCAGATGACATTATACGGTTTGTTCCTTGTTTCCATATCACACACAGATTGAGGGAAATCTTCTAAGTCCTAGGCAGCTGCTGTATTATGCTGTATAGACTATTTTTTATTCAGATTTTTTTTTCATTTGCTGGTTTTATTTTACTACTTGGCCCTGTGATGGACTTGCGACCTGTCCAGGGTGTACCCCGCCCCTCGCACTGTGACTGCTGGATATGGGCACCAGTGACCCACGCAACCCTGAAAAGGAAGAAGCGTGTACAGAAAATGGATGGATGGATGGATATTCTCATCCCGACCGCTTTGTAATGAGCTGCAAACCACTCAAGCGAAAGCTGGAGATCACTGTCCATAAAACTTATGAATAGAATTGTGACAAAGGGCAACCTTGGCGGAGTCCAACTCCGACTGAAAACGAGCCCAAGGCAGACCAACCTCTGACAGTGGTACAGGGACYAAACAGCCCGTATMAATGGRCTTGGTACCCCAKACTCCYGGAGTACCCCCCACAGGACTCCCGGAGGGAAACAGTCCAACACCTTCTCCAAGTYCACAAAACACATGTAGAGACTGGTTGGGTGAACTCCCATGCACCCTCAAGGACCCTGCTGAGGGTGTAGAGCTGGTCCAGTGTTCCACAACCAGGATGAAATCCACACTGCTCTTCCTGAATCTGTGATTCAGTTATCGGACTAACCCTCCTGTCTAGGACCCCTGAATAGACCTTACCGGGGAATGTGATCCCCCTGCAGCCACCCACGTCGCCCACTCAAGGCTTTATATTTTTCAGAGTGAGGAATGTCATGTTTGGGAATCAGGAAAATGTGTGTTATGTGTTTTCCCACATGCAAGTGTTTTTTCTTTTGCATGCAATATTCGTTTCTCACYCAAAACAATTTTACAATGTTGCAAAACTAATTCAAGCACAAAACTAATTACAACGGAGTATTAGGGCCAAACAGCAAGATCGTTTTTTAAATTACAAGAATAAAATCATTTTATTAAGAGATTAAAGTCATAATATTATGTTATAATATGTTCTCCTATGTTTGTTAAGTTCTGTCTTCTTCTGATTGGGTGTTCTGAACTGTAATTTCACTGTGCTCGGCACAGTGACAATAAAGGTCTGTCTTATCTTATCTTATCTTATCTTATCTTATCTTATCTT